CACCCCACCCCCTTTCTTTCCTACAGGAAAAGTTGTCCAGTTTGACTGAATCTAGCTTAAAAGCCTGTTCCTCACATGGCTTAGAGCCTCACTAACTCTTCATGAACTAATGTGGCAGTTTTCACTGCTTTTCGTGGTTCTGATTTGGACCCTCTGAACTCTGTCTTTCCTGCTGGCATCCAAGTATTCCACCTAAAAAAGTTAAACTGACTGTGTCATTCCTCTATTTAGCACACCTTCCTCCTCTGAGTACCTCGTATGAAATGAAGACAGGATTCCTCAGCATGGCACAGGAGGGCTGTCTTTGAGCTGGCCCTCCACTCGCTCCCTGCATTTGCTCTTCCTTCCCTCACCTTGGAATTTGTGCTCCATCAATGTCTGAAGGCTTTGAGCTCGCTGCACAGACTGCAGTGTCTTATCACCTTACTGCCTTTCCTACCTGGTTCTAGTCTGCCTTTGTGCCATAGCATCCACTCTCCCCACGTGCCTTCTTTAGGTCACACTGCTCATCATTTAAGACGTAGTTCAGCTGTCTTCTACACAAACCATTTCTGATGCGGTCAGTGTCCTTCCTCCCCCTCCTCTTAGTCCAGAGACCATGCTTCCGTAACACCACATTGTATCAAGCTTTCTTATCTGGGACCCTTGTTAAACTGTGAGCTCCTTGAGAGCAGGTATCGTGTCTTATTTGTCTTTGTATCCCTTCCCCAGTGCAACATCCGGTACAGTGCCTGGCACATAGTAGGCACTTCATAAGCATTGGTTATTCTGAGCTTCCAAGACCCTGAGGGGGCCCCTGTAAACCATGTGTGTGTTTCTAGAGCTCGGGCAGCTCGGACGGAACTTTAGCATGTTTTTAATGTCCTGAATGATTAGATATGAATTATTAAAGGTCATTTAAGCAGCTGCACAGGATAAAGCTGGAATTTTGATAAGTCATTTATAATCTTTCAGAATGGCCTATGGGTGTCCAAGAATTTTGGGGGAAAATGGGAAGAAATCCACAAAGCAGTATGTTTGGCCAAATGGTGAGTAACAGAAGACTCCATCTGCGCAGAGCCCGAACCTTTTCAGACAGCACTGCCAAAAGTCACACAGATAAACACGGAGCACTTACTATGTGCCAAGCACTCCTCAGGGTGCCACAGGGGACACGAGAAAGGAGTTTTATACAGACCTCGACCTGAAGGAGCTTCTAATTCTGCTGGGAAAGAAAACTTAGTCTCGCTAAACACTAGAATTTGAATAGAAAACAAGGCATGTGACTAAGTAGCTGCTGCCTGCAAAAGGTTTATTCTCCATAAATGGTGACATCAGTTAGACTAGTAGAAAATACAGCTTTGATTTGGGGACTTACGTACTTCCCTGTGCCCAGATTTATATTCCCTCATCTAGAGATCCATTTCGGTTATAAGGAATGTAGTACGGAATAAGGAAGAAAGCCAGAAAGCTTGCAGACCGCCGGAATCACACCGTGCACCAAACTTCATTCGCTTCTCTCGCTGGGACACCCCCACACCCAGGTGCCTGCTCAGAGATGACACAGTAGAGGGGCTCTTACTGGAGAGTCAGGTCACCTTTATTCTAACCTGGCTCTGCTGCTAGTCAGTGGCTTAACCTCTCTGGGCTTTAGATTTTTCCTTCTGTCTATGAATGGAGATTTGTTTGAGGAATTTGGGGAATGGCTAAGCAAGAATTGAATGAAGAGCCTTCATACCTCCACAATTCTGATTAGGCTCAGACCCTTGTTTAGAGCCTGTTTGTTCTTTCTCTTTGACTAATTTCAGCAAATTTGTTAATCTGGTTTCCCAGTTAATAGCGGATTGCTGCCAGAGGTGGGGTATATGAATGCAAACAGCAGGCACATGCCAGGAGAACTGTAAGCAGACAAAAGCTGAGAGGACAGGATGGAATTTAGTGCTAGATGAAGACAGCACACATACCTCAGTAACTTCTAATAGGAACACTGTGTTGTTAGAGTTTCACATGATGTTCACAACAATGATCCATAATCCCAAGGAAGAGTTTAATGTTTACTGTCTTCTACTTAGGGAGTCAGGGAAATGTATAATACAGATACTGCCAAATATGTCTGCCAAAATTAACTAAAATATTTTAAAATGTTGCTTAACTAAAGTGGGCCTTTTCCAGAAAGTGCTGGTTTTTACAGTACCAGTATGGTATACATGCCACATCTGCTTTCACTTTATGTGGCTTAATTGTGTTTGTACCTTATATGGTCTTATCAGGAAGGAAGTAATTTTTAAAGTAAGTTAACAAATTGTTTCGCTTCTGATGAACCTAAAATATGTAGGATATGTTCAAGAAAGATGGTAATTTTGATCATTAAAATTCATCTTTACATATGTATCATCACAGTGTACACTTTAACTATCTTACAATTTTTGTCAGTTATGCCTCAGTAAAGCTAAAAGAAACAAATAGAAACTCATCTTTAAAACTGAAAAGTTATTTTAAAATGATGTTTTATTTTTTATTCTATACAAGATTTTTTACTTTGGTAACTCGTTTCTTTGATTAGTCTAAATATAAGCTAACTGAGTGGCTAACTGTTTACTCACTTCTAGATCTTTGATTTCTAGGAATTGACAACCTAAAGTTCTGAAAGAACACGCTCAGTGCCAGCCTCTTTCGCTGCTGCTGACCTATAAGTACCATCATGGTCTAAACCTACTTGCCTGCGAACTCCCTTTCCAAATTAGAATTTAAATAATTCAACCTCCGAAAGAACTAAAATTATTTAGCCTCATGCAAAGCATTGACCTAGGTTCTGAAGGGAAGCAACAAAGCATAAAACCTAGTACCTGCCCTAAAGAACCCACGAGTCTAATAGGAGAGATAAGGCATATACTATGCGATTAAAATAACTAAATGGGAGACAGAGGAGTGCCAAGTGGCTGGTACAGAATGGAACAGTGCCCTACAACAGTTTCTCAACCTCAGCACTAGTGACATTTTGGACCAGACATTTCTTGTTGTGGGGGTCATCCTGTGTATTGTAGGATATTTAGCAGATCCCTGGCTTCTGTCCTTTAGATATTAGTAACAACTCCCCTTCTTCCAGCTGTGACAACCAAGAATACCCCTTAAGGAGCAAAATCCTCCCTGGTTGGGAACATTGCTCTAGAAGTTTATAGCAAATAAGCCTTCTAGTTGGGGTGACAGAGAAAGCTTCGTGGAAGAGCTAGTTTTAAGCTGGAGCCTAAAGATTGTAAAGGTAAGAATTGGTTACACAAAAGAAAAGCATTTTAAGAAGGAAATACTGTGAACAAATGCAAGAGACAGATTTGGAGAGCATGAGTAAACCAGTTGGACCAGCTGGAAGAGTTGACATAAAGAATAGAAAATGCCTGGGGCCCCGGATGTGGGGACCTTGACTGGGAGGCTGTGGAAGAATCAGGCGTACAGCATCCAAGAAGGTGGTTTTGGCTAATACCAACGGATAAAGCTTATTAAACTTGCTGGGAGCTTTGTGACTAAGGTCGACACAGTCCATTAACAGTCTTGAACCATGTCTTTTCCCTGTCTTTGCCTCATTGTAGGGGATCAGAAAACATCATCTTCTTTACAACGTATGTGAATGGCTCCTGCAGTAAGTATATTTTAGTTCCAGAGGAATGTCTTATTGTCTGTTTATGATAGGACATTCTAGGATTTTAAGAGGTAGAAACATCAAAGATCCTTCCATTCTTCTGTAGTTTTAATAGATGAAGATAGCTGTTAATGATTTTTAAAATCTTGACATTACAACCAAATTACTGTGTCTAGATCCAATAAAAATACGGGCTCTACATAGATACAGTATACTTAATCTTAGCAACATGTTTACATAAAGTAAATGTTGGGCTACAAACAATAACATTGAAATGCATAGTGATTTTTGCAAAAGAACATAGATTGCGTTTGGGTCAGTGGAAGCAATTGGCTTTCCAATCAGTGGCACAGTTTCAAAGCAGAGAGCATAATCTTTCACTTATTTATTCAACTGATTCATTTCATTTATTCATTCATTCATTTGAACACCTACAGTAGTGTGCTAAACACTATTCTAAGGACGGAGAGAACAAGGCCTGCTCTCACAGAGCTAAATAGAGCTAAATTTAAGTAGGGATGTTGGATGATCAAGAAGAAAAGCAAACTCAAAGAAGACAACTTAAAATAGGATAAGATCATTTCAAACTGTGTCATGAAGAAAGTAAAGCAGGGTGCTGTGGCTGTAATGTTTTAATGCAACACTGTATTGGAATTAAGTAAACTCTATCTTTCTGTCCAGTGTATAAATAAAACCCAAATGTGAATTGCCTATGTCTAATGCCATATAATTTTAAAACATTTCTAAAACAGTTGTTTGAACCTAGGGGCTCACCAGTAAGTGAAGTTTTAATTAATATTTTGTCTTGCTTAAGAAGCTGATCTTGGAGCGCTGGAATTATGGAGGACTTCAGACTTGGGGAAAAGCTTCAAAACCATTGGTGTGAAAATCTATTCATTTGGTCTTGGGGGACGTTTTCTTTTTGCCTCTGTAATGGCTGATAAGGTGGGTGTTTGCCTCTTCTCTCTGGGTTCTGATATTTCTGTAAATGTGCCTCAAATAGATCCCTTTTGCTATTTGTACTGACAGTTTCTTGCCTTCTTGCCGTATCTAATATCACTGTAAGATTTGGGGGTGATTCTTTTTATAGAGGCTGACTGACTCTTCTAGGTTACTCTGTACTTCGCCTGTCATCACCACATGATTTCTGGAATCTGTTTTGGGGTATGTAGACGTAGTATTTGGGTTTCACTCAGACATGAATATTTGAAAAAAGCAATCCACTTGCTCATTCATTATCCAGGAACAGTAACAGAAATAGGTAACATTAATTGAGTACCTACCGTATACTAGGTACAACTCTAAGTCCTGAGAATATAGCAGTGACTAAAACAGATAAGTGTCCCGCTCTAAGTGCTTATATTTAAGTAGGGGAGGTAGATACTAAACTAATAAATATGATAGAACATCAGGTAATGATTAAAACTATGAAGAAATCTAAAGCAGAATAAGGAAGTAGAAAGTGGCAGGCTGTTTTAGCGGGGTTGGGGGGTGGTTTGGATGGGCTCTCTGAGACCTGACTGAGGTGAGAACATTAGCTATGTGGACATCTAGGCTGAGGAAAGAGTAAGTGCAGACAACTCAGGCTGGAGCATGCTTGAAAGAGCGACGAAAAGTGAGAAGGGCAGCACGGCTGGAGCACAGGGAAGGGTGGTCCAGAGAAGGGGGCCAGCAGCCAAGCCATTCAGGGCTTTTGTAGGTCGTAATTAAGACCTTGACTTTTATTCTTTTTTGTGTTGGGAAGCTGTGAAAAGGTTGCGAGCAGGGGAATGATGTAATGTGACTTCTCTTTTGACAGCATGGGCGTGTGCAGAGTAGTCTGATGGGGCGGAAGCCGCTGGGAGGCTGTTACAGTAGTGTGCGGCGTGGCAGGTTGGACCAGGTGCCGGCAGTGGATGAGGGGAGAAAGTGGGAAGATGGCAGATGTATATTTTAAATGTATTGCAGTAGGATTTGCTGATGGATTAGATGTGATTGTGAGAGAATGAGAGGAACCAAGGATAACTTTATGGTCTTTGGTCTGAGCGACTCGGCGAATGGTGGTGCTGTTTACGAAGACGACAGAAGACTGCAGGAGAAGCAAGTTTGTGGGAGGAAAATCAAGAATTCAGTTTTAGATATAAGATGCCTGTTGGATATCTAAGTGGAAATGTCAAATAAGCATTTGGGTATTTGAATCTCCCACAGTTATATATGATACTTAAAGCCATGTGACTAGATGATATCTTCTGGAGGAAGGAGTAGGTAGATCAAAGCTGAGAAGATTGAGCACGCCCTGAAGCACCCGGCACTGAAAGGTTGGAAAGAGATGGACAACTCAGCAAAGAAGATTTGACGGGAGGGACCAGAGAGGCAGGGGAAGTAGGACAGTGTGATGTCATGAAAGTCAAGTGGAAAAATGTTTCAGGAAGGAAGAAGTGATCAGCTGTGCTAAATTCAACAGAGATGCCAAATTAGTTAGGTGAGTGCTGAGAATTATCCACTGGCGCTGGCAAAATAGAGGTTGTTGGTGAGCTTGATGAAAGCAGTTTCACTTGGAGTACTGAGATTAAAAGACTGATTAAAGTGGATTCAGAGAGAATTGGAGATGGGGAAGTAGACTCAGGAAATACAGATAACTCCCTCGAGCACTTTTGAAATAATCTTCCAAACAACCCTATAAGCTAATGCTCTGTTATCTTGATTTTTATTTGAGGAAATTGAGTCATTTCCTGGAGTCACGCAGAGGTGGTACCCTGGTGGAAATCAGATTAATTCCAGAGGTAGCCCCCTCCACTCTACTGCTACTGTCTACAAAATTAAAATTCTACCATGTGCTTTTGAATTCTAGTTTCTACCTAACAATGAGAGTAAGAGTCAATGTAAACAAGTAGGTGTAAGTTAGAAAAATAAGCCAACCGTACTTGTCACTGAACTTTAAAGAGTATTTAACATATGGAAGCCCTAGGACTAATTCTCACACCGTGGCTAATTGTGCCTTGTAGCTATTTTAAACTACTTGTCAGAAAGTAGGTGTTAATTGCATCCTTAACAGACTCCTCTTAAGAGCTAAATATGCCCTGATCACCTTCTTTTTATTGATTTCTGACTCTGACCTCTTCCCAGCCCCATTGCCCTCATTATGGCTGCTCTGAGAGACTTCCTTAAAGAGGAGACATGTCACATCTTGACTTCCCTTGTGACCTCCCAAGCACGGATTTTATCACCATTTTCTAGACCCTTAATTATCTAATTTCTTTGGATTATGCCAGGACTGTCTCAGAGGAAACAAACCTTTATGCAGCAATCATCGTATTAAGAATTATCTGAGCAAGGATATGTGAATGGCTATAAAGCCAAACAAATGATGGTCCCAGCACACTCTTGGCTCTGTCGAAGGAAATGAGGATGTCAGAGGTTGAGAGGATAATAGCTTTTAGGTTACACCAGAATGAAGGAGCCAAAGAGGAAGCCAAGATAACCTTACTTACAATAGAATGGATTGTCTCATTGCCTGGAACTTTGCTGGAGGTTAGAAGACGCTTTGGTAGTTGGTACTGGGACCTTTCATTTATAGCAATTGTGCTCAGTGAGGAAATGGATAATGATACGTATGATTATTAAATAATAATGTCCCTATTATGTCCCTGCACATAACACCTTGGCAGAAAATTAAAAAGATAAATGCTGTCATTTGTTTCAGGATACAACAAGAAGGATTCATGTCTCAACAGATCAAGGGGACACATGGAGCATGGCCCAGCTCCCCTCTGTGGGGCAGGAACAGTTCTATTCTATCCTAGCAGCTAATGATGACATGGTATTCATGCATGTAGATGAACCTGGAGGTGAGAGCTTTTCATTGGCCCACCCTTGAAATCGTAGAGATTTAAGCTTCCAGACTTACTTTGAGTAGCTTTCCTTCTTCCATGTTGATTTTTCCTCTTACCCCTAGATATTTATTACCTAGGTGTTTTACTGAACATTTTGTCTTAGAGATAATACGTAGCCTCAGTCAAAAAGGCCACTCGTTTTGACATTCTGTGGTTCGTGTGCACGTCCAAGTGTTCTAGAGCAGTGCTGCTCAAAGAGTGGCCGGGGACTAGGACTGTTTTTGGCAAACTCATTGTTAAGGAGAGGAAGTAAGAGCAAGCTTTTCAAAACTCTTACAGCCATTTGACAAAGTAATTTAATGTCTGTTGAATCTAATGATAAAAGAGTTGATTATATTTTGTCTGTCTTTTGTATTTCATTTTTCTAAAGATTAATTTTATATTTTACAAAAGCATTGGTTTGTGACATAATGGAAATTTAAAATTTGATCCTTCACCACAGATAGTTTGATAAGCATTGTTCCAGAGTATAAAGATTTAGAGATACGTAAGATACGACTCTAAATACAGTGCCTCTGCCACCAAAATATATCTGGATAGAGCTTTTCTGGAGTATCTGATTAATTCATTCAATAAACTCAGCATCTCCCATATTCCTGGCACTAAGCTGGGCACTAGAATTAAAAATGGTCCTAAAGATTTTGCATATTAAACTGATTAATTCTCAGGTCTGCGTCTACATCATGAAAAGAGACAGTTGGCTAATGTGCAGTCAGTCGTTCAGGGGTATGTATGGTTAGGCTATTGCTGTCTCTCTGTTCCCTCCCAGGACTTAGAGTTTTCGTTTGTTTGCCTATTTCAGATACTGGATTTGGCACAATCTTTACGTCAGATGATCGAGGTATCATCTACTCCAAGTCCTTGGACCGACATCTCTATACCACCACAGGCGGCGAGACGGACTTTACCAACGTGACCTCCCTCCGGGGCGTCTACATTACAAGTGTGCTCTCAGAAGGTGAGTCTTGCCACAGCTGTCCTTCAGCTGAACATGTTGGCTGTTGAGGATTTGGGGGAGACTGATGGTCCTGTCCCCCTACTAATGTTGCTTACCTAGCCAGTAGCCTACCCATGTAAATTCTGGCTCTTTAAATAAGTTATGGTAAATAGAACTAAGAAAAAGCAAAGGAACCACAAGGTAGAAAGTAATATTTTGGGGGTTCTATTTTGTTTAGTTTATAAAGTAAGTCTTCCATTTTGAGAGGTTTAGGCCTGTAGAAATGAGCCTGAGTTTGAACCACTTCCTGCTTTTCTCCTTATAGAGGGCATAGCAATGCCAGCCAAGATTCTTGTGTTCTACCCAGTGGTTCTGCAACACTCACCTTTACTAAAGCCCAGTTATACAAATAAACACACTACTCTAAAGTACAAAGACTCCTAAGGTTTTATTTATTTATGCATTTATTTTTGGCAGGAAGCACGGGATGTTTGTTTTTATTTTGTAAAGACCTTGCAATGGTCTACAAGGTCCTAAGTGATGTTGGCCCCGTTTCCTTCCTGACCTCACCTTCATCTTGCTCACTCTGCTCTGGTCACTCCAGCTCTCTGCCAGTCCTTAAACACGCCAGGTTCACACACTCGTGGCTTAGAGATACGCACTGACTGCGCGCTCTGTTTCCCCAGACACCTGCAAGGCTGAGACATTCCTCCTTCCAGTCTTGGCTCCTATTTACTTTCTGAATGAGACCTGCCTGACTACCCTGTGTTAAATTTCAGTCTGCCCCTCCCCACTCAAACACTCAGTCCCCCTTTAGCTGTGCAGATTTTTTTTCCATAGCACTTATTTTCCAACATACTATATAATTTACCTGTTTACAGCATCTAGTGTTCAGCTCACTCTACTAGAATGTGTACTTCACAGAGATTTTTTTTTTCTGTTTTGTTCACTGATATATTCCCGAAAGCTTACAACAATTTTCACATAGTGGAAGCATAATAAATATTTATTGAATAAATGAATTTTCCTTCATTTGCTTTCTCGTTTGATTTTCCTTCAAAGCATATTACCTCTGAATTTAAACCTGCAACAGTTTGTATCATTGAAAATAGAGAATAGGGAGTAAAAGACATGAGAAAAAAAAAAAAGAAAAGGTATAAGGATAGGGTATGAGACAAAATTGGGAATTATTAATTCAGAGTTAAGTACATACATTCCAATCTTGAGATTTCCTAAAACAGGCCCAGTATCATGGCCTTGTCTGAGTAAAGATGAGGATGCCTTCCCATTGTAGATTTTACTTCCAAGACAAGCAAACAAGAAAGGAGAATGGACATTCGTCTGTTTGTGTTAATAAAGAGATAAAAGGTATCTTTTTTCAAGAGTGTCAGTCTAGATGATTTCTGGAATCAGCAGAGTCTTGTTCAGGTGAGAAGCCTTTTTCAGATACCACATTTAGAGTGCTGCTCACTTACTCACCAAGACTGAGGGTTATAATGGTGCCACACAGTCTTAGTTAGGAGAGAGTTCTACAGTGATACACTGTATGCACCCTATTAAATTCAGTTTTTCATGCTTAATGTCATTCTTTTCTCATTCAGATAATTCTATCCAGACTATGATTACTTTTGACCAAGGAGGAAGGTGGAAGCACCTGAGGAAGCCTGAAAACAGTGAATGTGACGCCACAGCAAAAAATAAGAATGAGGTTTGTGTTACTCCAATTGTCATATGCACTTGGAGCAAAGCAGCCATTTTTTTTTTTGAATAATGAAGTTTTGTACTTGATTGAGGTCCACAGATAAAGGTGGAAAGTTTGGGAATAAGAGTAATGAAACTAATTTAGAATGTAGGAAATAGGAACTGTGAAGAAAAGCCAAAATACTATGGATTATTTGTCTTCCAAAGGAAAGCATAAGTGAGGGCAGTGTGTGTGTTCTATTAAACCGTCGAGTGAAAATAGGATAGACAGTTGGGCCTTTGATTAGTGAGGCGTCAGCATGGCCGCTATGAGACATTAGGAATTCTCCAAAAACCGTAGACCAGCCAGCCATTTATGAACAGTGCAAAGCCGAACTGGCCGGAAACAAATGGAAGAGAACTTGGCCCTCTCCTCTTCTTGGGTGCCACAGAGTGTGGGTGTGGGTGTGGGCGGTAATCCAGCAGTGCATGTGAAAGCAAGAGCTGACCCAGAGGAGAGACAGAACTAGAAATACAAAGGCATTGCTCCAGGAGATCGCAGATTCCAGGAGTGACAAGTCTTGACAGGCAAGAAACAAACAAAAAAAAGAAAACAAGCTTTGTGTCTGGCTCTTTCAGAATTTGAGAGGAGCTTAGGGAAACACTCAGAATTTTCTTAAAAAAAATGACAGTGTGTGTAGTTCTTGAGCTCTCCTCAGAACGCCTGTGGCTGACATACACTGCTGTTCCAGACAGGGTTTTTTGTCTTATTTTAAGAGCCTCCGACAGTGTGAGATAAAGGGTACCTACACCACCCCCAATGCTCCCTCTTCTCCCTTCTCTATACTCCTAAGTGCTATTGAGTGTCTTTCTCCCTTCTGTTCCCTTTTTGCATCCCTCCGCTGTGACCTTGCCCTGAGCCTGCTCTGCTCACCTGAAGCCTGGGAAAGTACAGTGGCCTCATTAACTGCCTTGCCACCCTCACACTTCCGTGCCTCTCCCTCCTCAGCACTCTTCATGGCTCCCCTTTGCCTGTGAATGAAGTCGGTGACCTGGTGATTGAGCCTACCTGGCAGGCTCTCTTCTGCCTTTCCCTCGTCACTGCCCATTTTATCACTGACATGCCCTTGTTGGCATCCTCTGCTGCTCCTGTATGTTTCTGCCTCTGCGGCCTTGCTCACGTTGTTCCTAGGGACGCTGTGCCTGTCTCCCCTACCCTGACTCATTAGGATTAGTGGAAACCCTCGCCGCCCATCTTCAGTTAGAACTGATCATTCTAATTCATTTCATTAATAGATTGCTCAAACCTCTTTTTTTATTGCAGTAAAATATACGTGACAAAAAATTAACATTTTAACCAATTTGAAATCTCTTTTAAAGCACTAAACTTCATTCTGCTTTATACCTCAACTAGTTTCTAAGAAATATTTCTTAAAGACAGGACAGTGTCTTTTTTTGAATCACCATCACGTCTTGCACAGTATCTAAAATATGTCAGGTATTCATCAAGTTTATTTATGTGGAATCATGCTTTAAATATTGATCAGAGGCTTTGGTGTAATGCATGAATAAAATAAATTAAGGCAGATTACACTGGAAAAAATAATTGCATAATTTGTCCCAAATATACGAATGCATTTCAGAATCAAGAATATCACACTGAGCCTATAACGCAACAACAACAACAAAAACAACCTAAATTAAAAGAAAATGTACAAATTGCCATTAAGCACACGAGAAAAATACTTTACATCACTAATTATTAGGGAAATGCAAATCCAAACCACAGCAAGAGATCACCTCGTGCCCATAGGATGGCTGCTATAAAAAAATAATAATAATAAGTGTTGGCAAGGATGTGAAGAAGTTAAAACCCTTGTGTACTGTTGGTGGGACTGAAAAGTGGTACAGCCACTGGAAAACAGTATGGTAATTCCTCAAAAAAGTAAATATAGAACCACCATATATGATCCAGCAATTCCATGTTGGGTGTATATCCAAAGAATTGAACAGAGGGTCTCAAAGAAGTATTTGCACACCCATGTTCATAGCAGCATTATTCACAAGAGACAAAAAGTAGATACAATCCAGGTGTCCACTGACAGATGAACGGATAAGCAAAATGTGGTATATACATACAATGGGATATTATTCAATCTTAAAAAGGCAGGAAATTCTGATACATGCTATAACATGAACGAACCCTAAGGACATTATGCTGAATGAAATAAGCCAGTCACGAAAAGACCAATACTCTGTGGTTCCACTTATATGAGGTACCAGGAGTAGTTACTCGTAGATAGAAAGTAAAATGGTGGTTGCCAGGGGCTGGGGGGAGCAGGGAATGGGAAGTTATTGTGTGATGGGTAGAGTTTCAGTTTTGCAGGATGAAAATGTTCTGAAGAAAGATGGTTGCACAACAGTGTGAATGTACTTGATATTATTGAACTGCACACTTAAAAATGTTTAAGATGGTAAATTTTATGGTATGTGTATTTTATCATTTTTTTTTAAGGAGTATCCTACCAAGGTCTGGGTAAGGTTCAAAGCTTTATTAGGCTCTGTAGGATCAGTAAAAAATTACACCTTTGGTTTTAATCTAAACTTTGATTTCTTTTCACAGTGCAGCCTCCATATTCACGCTTCCTACAGCATCTCCCAGAAATTAAACGTTCCAATGGCCCCTCTCTCAGAGCCCAATGCCGTTGGCATAGTCATTGCCCATGGTAAGCAGCCCTCCCCTCCCTCCCACCTAACAGGAAGAAGTAGCTGACTACACTGGAACTCAGCCACAGCCTTGAAACCTGTAAGAAAATCAGCATAGGTGGCTTTTACCATCCTTTGTAGAATGTCTTGCATAATAATGGTACTTTGGGTTTTTCATAGACTCCCGTCAGAGAGAGCAACATGACTTTCCCCTTTCCCAAATTTTCAGTGGCCTTTTTTTCCCCATCACAGGAGACATAATGGGAAATAATAGGGTAAAATCATTTAAAATTATTCTCTTGGCAGGAAATCCTATTTCCTTGCTGATTTGTGCTGAGGAGATGGTGGGTTGTGTTGCAGGTAGTGTGGGAGATGCCATCTCAGTGATGATCCCGGATGTGTACATCTCACATGATGGGGGTTACTCCTGGACGAAGATGCTGGAAGGACCCCACTATTATACCATCCTGGATTCCGGAGGCATCATTGTGGCCATTGAGCACAGCAGCCATCCTATCAATGTGATTAAGTATGCATGAGCTCAGCTCCGCCCACACTATCCAGTAGAGGGTAACTGTGGGAAGTTTTTCAGTTTGTTGGGAAGTTATATAGACCCTGATTCAAATCTGTGCATTCTGAAGAACTGCAAAGAAGGTTCTGGAAGGGATTACATTTAGAGCAACTCAGATTAAAACACTCCCTCTAGGTAACACTTCTTGTCACTTTTTAAAATATTCTTTCCACAAAAAGATTTTGGAAGTGTTTAAGCTCTCTGGATGGGAAATAACTCTTTAAGTACAAGTTTTTATAAAGTAATTTCTGTTTTTTGATTTGGAAGCCCATTCTTTCATAATCACTACCCTCTCTTTCCTTTGAAAGAATTTTTATAAAGGCATTTTCTTCTATACTCTCTGAATGGATCCCTTTTCCCTACCCTGTTTAAGAGGCATGAAAAATTGATAGAATTGTCAGTCAGTAAGCCATCCCCTAAATATGAGGATTCCTCCCTGGTTTGAGATCAGACAGCCAGAGTGGTTTCCTGATACTCTGATAAATGTTGATCCCCTGTCATGATGTTTGGGGCTTCAGGTTCTCCACAGATGAAGGCCAGTGCTGGCAAACCTACATGTTCACCAGGGAGCCCATCTACTTTACAGGCCTCGCTTCGGAACCTGGAGCGAGGTCCATGAACATCAGCATCTGGGGCTTCACAGAATCTTTCCTGACTCGCCAGTGGGTCTCTTACACCATCGATTTTAAAGATGTCCTTGAAAGGAACTGTGAGTGTCATCTTTGATCTTTCCTACCAGAAACTTATAAGCCTCTTTTCCTAAATAACCAATTCAGCTTAATATCTTTTCGCTGGAAAAAGAAAATGCGTATGAAAGAGGATTAAGAGATGTTCCATGTGGGTAATCAGGCAATGGAATGGAAGCAGAAAAGCAGCTCCCTCTTTGGACAAGAGAAATAAAATGAGGGCCAAATATGTAATTTAAATTATTCTATCAACTACATTATAAAAGCAGAAGAGGTATAATTAATTTTAATAATATAATTATCTTAACATATCCAAAATATTTTAAAATGTAAGCAGTATTAAAAATTATCAGTGAAACATTTTACATTCTTTTTCTTCTAAGTCTTCAAAATCTGGTGTATATGTTACACTTATCTTTATAGTAAATTTCAATTCAGACCAGCCACATGTGGCTACAACTATCATATAGAAATACCAGAGATTAAGCTTCATGAAATTATTGCAAGCAAGTGTGACAGACCAGTTCAGTATAGCTTTTCATTGTTCAATCTGTCACATGAGACTTTTTCCGCTTATAAGGATAATGCATACTTGTGTTTGACTAAAATTATTTCATAACATATCAGGATTTTTCACCTGTGAGTACAGCAGAACTGTAAAGAGGAAACTTTAAGAAAAGAGTGTTGCAAAGAGCATCTAATTAATTGTGTCACTTATCAAAATGTTGATAAATGAAGAAATTTTCATGCCAAGAGTTTTGGCTTAAACATCAGTCATAGGTGAGTCACTAGAATGGCTACTGGGCAGGCATGAAGCCCACGCTGACCATTTTCAGAGTTTTTGACTTCAAACTAGAAGGCATGATAAAAGCCCAGAAAATAGCTTCAGAAAAGGAGTTAAATGTTCAGTGCAAAAATCGCAAGCAAATCCAGGCCCCAGAACAAAAGATGCTGACATTGTACTGAAAAATATGGAGGAGAAAATAAAAAACTGGAGCAGAGGCGACTACCATGTGACCCATAGTTACCTGTTGGCATAATATGATACTTAAGGTTTCAAGGTTTCAAGACGCTTTAGTTGAATTTTGGTTCTGACTATTATTAAACTGTATTATGGGTCCATTTCCCCAGAATGTTAATTCAGTGATTCCTGGAGGAAACACAAGCACTCATTTGGACCTTACTTTTCTACAAAATTTTTAAACATGATTTAATACTGGAGAGTCATTATTATTTAAATGTATCAAATAGGCTGTAAAGGAGCTGGCTTACGAGTTTTCCGCTCAGCAGGCAGCTCTACAGTTATCCCTAAAGTTTAATGTCATTAAAAGATTTGTTAAGCACCTGTTCTTTAACAGGCTCTGTGCTGGTCTTCATATCCCAAAGGATAAAAACCTAATCCACAGTCTTTAGGTCATAGCCTTTGAGTCATTTTTCCAAAAGTCGATGATACGATATAAGCCAGGTTGACTGCTATCAAGTCTTCATTTGACAGCCAGTTGACTAGAGTTAAAAGTCTAGAAAGAGAATGTTTTCCCTTTATATGGAGCAAACTAACCCATAGCGAAATTGACTGATTGAAGTCTTGTCCTAACAGAAAACATCTGATTGCTGACCTCTGACAGCTCCTGCTGACTAAGGGTACAGGAGCACAAGACAAATAGACAGCAGCCTCTCGGTTTAAAAGGAATCTAGAAGTCCTCTGCCCAGCTTCCCACTTCGAAACAAATAGGGTTTTCCTAATAACTCAGATGAGTAATGAGATGCAAATAATCTCCGTTCGGTATGAAGAAATGCTACTTGCTGGTATGCTCCAACTAATGTAACTTTTGTTTGCAATTCCAAAACGAAGCAATAGATTGAGGCAGACACCCCCAGTCTTCCTCTCCTTGTTCTTCCTATAGCCTGGCAGCCGCATCACATGGGTGGGTTCTGTGCCATGCAGTTTCCCGAACAACCTGTCTTTCCTTCAGGTGAAGAGAAGGACTATACCATATGGTTGGCTCACTCCACGGACCCTGGAGATTATGGAGATGGTTGCATTTTAGGTTATAAAGAACAGTTTCTACGGCTACGCAAGTCATCTGTCTGTCAGAATGGCCGGGACTATGTTGTGACCAAGCAGCCATCCGTCTGCCTCTGCTCCCTGGAAGACTTCCTCTGGTATCAGCATTCCTCAGATCCCTGTCAGCCTCTTTCCTGTACTGGAGAAGGGGGAACACAGTTGTCTTATAGAGCCGAAAATATTTAAATCTTTTTCTTCTCCTTCTTCCCCAAGAACAGGGAACTGCTGCTTCTTACTAAGGAACTTAAGGCAGAGAGAAAGGGAACCAAAGTTGTTGATAATTGGACAGATAATATTATCATATAAGATAGTTAATTATTGGACAGAACCAGCAACAACCAGAAATTCTGACTTGGCAGTGGTAGGAAGGAGAGAGGTGTATAAGGAGGAGGAGAATGAAAAAAATAGGTGATAGGACAGAAACCCAAAGAAAAGTGGTACAGGAGCTAA